CACCTTTTATTGCTTATGCATGTAATGATTTTGATTTGTACTGCTGCTTTCTATCAACAAAGTTACCTCTCCCTCAGCCATTTTGCACAATGAGGTCTTAGTAACACTGAAGATGATCAAAATTGTTTTAAGCACATTGACCTTTGCTGCCTAGTTCTGTTCTGTGTTTTGCGATGTTTGTTCATAGATTATAATCGTAATACATCCCTCCCACTGCCAGTGCATGGAGAACAGGCTGGCAGCAGCAGCAGTGAGCATGGCTCTGTTTCACCAGACTCTGATGTACAGCATGACATGTTTTTTGAAAGGCCAAAGAGATCCATTTCAGAGATTCAGACAAAGCATCCCCTCTCTCATTTACTAAGGTAAAGCTTTTACTTGTCGCTTGACACCCATGAGGGATTATGTGGGTTTAATTCACATTATAATTTATCCGAGGGCAATTTTTTCATGTAATGACTAGATAAGCAGATGTGTTAAACAGCAAGAGAGTTGCATAGGCAAGTTATCAGTCCATTTAAATATTTAATTAATGAACAATGATTATTTCTCCTTAAGGTTTCTATGTATTTGTATATTTTTCCTCCCCAGCAAATAAATGTCAGTTATCTTATTTTACTTCCATGTACTCATGAAAAAATGTGGGAAAGGGGCAGTAGAAAGGCAGTTCTGCTGCTCAAGGAGCACAAAGCAGCACTTCCAAATGAGTATGTTACAGTATGGGGCCAGAAAAAATGAATAGTTATCTCAGTCCAGGGTTTTCAGCTTTCCTCCCCAAAACTGAACCAGTGCTGGCTGACAGCAATGCCAGCCACTTCCCAGGATGGAATCAGCCTTGTGCTTTCAGCTTCAGTGGGGTTTCTGCCAGCTGCGGATCTGAGCCATCTTCTGTCTCAGAACTGGTGTTTAACAGGCTGAGCCACCCGCTGCTGTACTTTAACTCACTTTTTAACCTCCGAAGTTCCCCTGCTCACTTCTGACAGCGCTGCCGTGTCGCTAATGCTGAGTCTCTCTTGTGTATGTGGCCGGGTTGCTGACGCAGCGTGCCTGATGAGGGCTCGGCCTCAGAGGACAGAAGCGCTTCTCCTTCCGTTGAGGATAAGGATTCTGGTCTGTTTCTGCTGCGGAAGGACAGTGAACGCCGAGCGATCCTATATAAAATCCTTAAGGAGGAACAGAATAAAGTTGCTTCCAATTTGCAGGACTGTATTGCACAGGTAATTTCACTTCAGCTCTCCTTTTCCCGTGTCAAAGGGAAAATGACAAGCCAGGTAGTATTATTCCTTTTCTGAAAACTAATAAACAAAGGTGCTTGGTTTGTTCCTTCTGAATGTCTTTAATCTGAGACCTGTAACTATACAAGCTGTTTGCTGCTGTCCGAATGGAGAGCAAACACCACCTTTCTGGCTGCTGCTGGGCTCTTGTTTTTTTTCTGAGGTGAAGGTTTGGGGTGTTTGATGTGGGGTTGGTGGGCTGAGGTTGGTGGGTTGGGTGGTTTTGACATTGTGTTTTGTTTTGGCTTTTAAGGGCATGGAAATGGCACACCAGGTAGTAATAGGTATGATTTGCTTTAAGGATAGAGAACTGATTAACCATTCTTAATTCAAAGTGAATGTAAACGAGGTGCCAAGAGCACAGTACATGAATCTTAAAAAAGCTAAGGTAGATTTCTGTGGAGGGAAGGGCCGAGTGGGAAGATTCAGTGACCATAAAGAGAAGCAAGAAAAATCATGTGTTCAGTTAACCTGTGGCCAAACAATGCCACACACCAGTAACAGAGTTGATTGCTTCGCCTTTTCTTCTTAATGTCTGCTTCTAATGTGCCCCTGATATTACCTGTTCCTATCAAAGCTATGGTTTTCCACCTGGACTGCATTTACTTAAAGGAGAGCCTGCCGACTGGTGGTGTCCCCAGCCAGATGTTGGTCCTGGGGAACAGCTGCTCCTGGGGCAGCCCCAGCCCAGCCGGGTGTGGGCAGCGGCTCCACACAGCGCAGGGGTTTGCTTCTCCCCCGTCACTCACTTCCCCTGCAAACTGCCTCATCGCCCCAGACCCTGGGGGCTCCTGCAGAGCTGTGCAGGCCCAAGAGGAAGGCTCACAGACTCAGGCTGGGGAAGCAACTGGGGCAAATTTCTGCTCTGAGCATAAGCTGAAAAATAGCTTATAGCCTTACAGAGGACTGAAATTCGTATGTGATTTCTTAGTCAGAAATAACCAGGGCTCTAAATATTTTCCAGGATAAAGAAGGATTATTTAGTAACAGCAAGTCCTACCTCAGTCTCCAGCTGTTTTGCAGCACTGCTGTAACCATCTCTTTTCCATAATTTCTATAATACTTCTCCCTTTACCTTTTAATTAATTATACAGGTGGTTGTTCTTACAGGCACTTGGGTGGCTTTAATTATAGGGGTTACGGACAGCAAATCATGGAAGGAACACTGGAGTCCTATCACTGTTTAATCGTAGACTTTTTTCTGACTTATGATGAATGCATCTATAAACCTGTTTTTTTGCCTAAGGAAATAAAATGTCTGCATAATTAGATATAAGTTCAGATTCAGCTTGTTGAAAGGACAGCATCTTAAAAACCTGAATCTCTAACTGGCTCTCTCTGCTCTTTTTATGGAGGAGAGCTGCCCTCTGCAGTACATTGCAGAAATTCGTAGGTATTATCTGGAACCTCTTCCCTTTGTCACAGCCACAGTAGCAGCAGACTTAATTTATTTTTCAGAAAATAGGAATTACTATTAAAAAAAAAAAAAAATTAGTTACAAAAAGGTAGAAAATAAAGACTTTGCAGAAATGAAAGTTCTGTGATTTCTGTGCATTGGTGTGAAATATACATGACAAAACTATAAATTGTAACCCTAAAAATACTAATGCTACTAATTAGATGTTTAATGGTTCTGGGAAATACATTCTCTTTTCTCCAGAGCTCTGAAGAGCTGCAACTTTCAGTGGCCCACATCAAGCAAATTATTGGGATTTTAAGGGACTTCATACGCTCTCCAGAGCAGAGAGTGATGGCTTCTACCATATCCAAGTTGAAAATGGATTTGGACTTTGACAGCACTTCCATCAATCAGATCCATCTGGTGCTGTTTGGATTTCAGGATGCGGTGAGTTCCTCACCTAGCGCAGAGGGAGAGGAATTCTTCCTGGACAGAGCTCACCCCAGGGGTTTGCAGCTTCCTCGCTCTTCCTCACTCCTCTTCCTCCTTGTATTGTAGCAGGGCTTCAGTGTCACAGTCTGGCTACAGTTTGAAAGCTCTAGCCCAAAACTAGAAATCTGTTGTTCAGACTTTCAGAGGTGGAGTGTTCAGTGACAGTGCAGTTGATACTTTATCAAACTTCATCTGACTATTGAGAAACAAGATTCTCTTTCCTAAGGTGTAAGCAAATGTTGTTTGCTGCTACTTTAACTTGCTTATTTATTTCTAGGTGAACAAAGTATTAAGAAATCACTTAATAAGGCCCCACTGGATGTTTGCAATGGACAACATAATTCGCCGTGCAGTCCAAGCAGCAGTCACTATTCTTATTCCAGGTAAATCAAAGCAGCTGGAAATACTGAGTGGCTGTTCGCATGTCAGAGTTATAGCAAATGGAGCAGGTTAGATGTTTAATCTGTCAGCATGCCATTAACTGCATCCCGTGTGCCACTGCATCAGAGGCACAGGGTCACAATGTTATACAGAAAGAAGTGTTGATCTTGGGGATTAATGCTCTACTTGCAGTACCAAAGCACATAATGAGGAGATAACCAGTGGTTCTGCACCATCAGTGTGGTCCAACCATGAAAAAAAAAAAAGGCAAATTAAATTCAGTCCAAGCTGGAGCTTTTCTAGTAAGAAAGAAAACGACTCTGTACAACATTTTAATGACATCCAAGGTGGGTAACGCTGCACAAGTCTGGTTTTGTGTTCTGAAAAGGGATTACTGAGCTGTGGAACAGATGCAGAGAAGGGAGTGCATTAATATGCAGAGGAGGATGATTTTTGGCCTACAAGATGGATAGTAGGAAAAAATCACCACCTCTGAGGAGGAAGATAAATGACTAAGAACTGTCTAAAACAAGTCTAAGTTGTTTTTTTTTTTGCAAGTAGTTTTGTTGCTCTTTAAAGTGCTGAGCACCCCTTCAAGTACGAAAGTATTCTGATAACACTTACTGGTGGTGAGGCCAGCTGTTCTTTGGTGGGAATGGTGGTTACCTGCAACAAGTTCTGAGAGAAACGGTGTTAGAAACACTGCCTGGGAAAGAGGAAGGCTTTGTAAACTCTTTGGTCCAAGGCATTAGGGGAAAGCAACTTTTTTTTTTAACTTTTTTTCTTTAAAAACAAAACAACAACAACAAATAAACTTTCAGGGGTTCCCCATTAATACGTTTTATTAACTATCTTATTAATCATTTAACCACAAATATATTTGTCACCTCTACAGCTGTAAGCTAGAGCTGGCTACCTCTGCTGGTACACTGCATCTGAGCTATTACAGTGCCACTCCTTTTAGAAAGAACTGATGCCAGACAGTCTGTGGTCCATCTTGCCTAAGGCTTTGCTGCTCCCTCCCCTGCTCAGTATTGCAATGAAGCACATTGTGCAAACACTCCACTTCCTCAGCTGAAGTTCCCCCACCCGCAGTAATGAAGAACAAACTCTAACACCTCTGAAGACAGACGTGTCCAAAACAATTCTTCTTCTTACATTGTTGCCTTTTACCAGAGCTTCGAGCTCACTTTGAGCCAGCATCAGAGACTGAAGGTGGGGACAAGGATGGTGAAGAAGCAGAGGACAGTTACCAGCCCACTGAACAAAATGGGGCTGAGGATCCTGCCATCACATCAGGAGTCAGCACCCTTAGTTCTGCGGTGTCACAGGAGCCTCAGCAGCAACTTAGCCTGGAGTTGGGCAGACTTAAACAAGAGACCTTAAGGTAACCCTCCTATAAAGATTGCGGATTGATTTTCAGACAGTCTTTTGAGAAGTTCTCAGATGTTGCTTTCCACAGTGACATGTACACACATAACAAATACTGGTCACCTGCTACGATTGCCTTGTGATAAAGCAGACCTTCCAGGAACACAAATGGATTCAGAATACACTGGCAGCGCCAGTATGACAACTCAAGAGCCCTCAGTACAACTTTTGTTTCTGTGTAATTAGTTTTTAATTGCAGAATGCCATGTTGGATTTCCACTGTTAAGTAATTAGGCTTGTGTCACTGTGCCGGTTTCCTTCCTGCTTCCCTGGCTCCTTGGATGCCACCTGGCCTAGTGGCAGTGCCCTCAAAGCTGTTCCTGCAAGGAAAGGCCAGAGCAGCTCTGTCCCAGCCCTCTGGACAGGGTCCCCACTAACTAGCACAAGCAGAGCTCAGCAGAGCCCCTGTCCTGTTTCTCCTGGGTTACAGCTGTAGGCTGCTGCCAGTGTGTCAACAGCTGAAGGTCCTGTCCTTCTTTATGGATGTGATGTAAATCTGTGATCAGAAAGTCCTTGTTAAAACATCAGCCTGATACTATTCAGCAGTAAATTACAGTACACGGGCAGCAGCTCTGCTCAGGGAGGCTACTAAATAGGAACAGAATTTACAAGCTATTCACTAAATTCTGCAAAGATGAAAGCCTTAAACTGCCACCTCTAAGCTGAGTCTCAGACAAACAAAATGAAATCTTAAATATTTCATAAAATGTTACTTAAGACAGTATCTCTCAGCATCTCTGCCCTTTGGTAATCGTTAAAAATGAAGAATATTTTTTTCAGATAGACTTATTCTCAGTATGGTGGTAGTTGTTCTCTCTCCTATGCTAACAGGCTTTTGGAAGACCTCGTTCAGAAGGAGAAGGAGTATCAGACCCTCTTACGACAATCTTTGGAGCAAAAAACTCAGGAACTACGCTTGCTTCGATTAAAACTTAAACCTGAAGGTATGAGAAGATACTGCATACTCTGACAGTTGCACAGAAATATATTGGCTTGTGTGTTTGTTCAAAGGATAAAAGATGCAAGCTTCACTAGTCTGAAAACCCCCACTTTTGCCCTAGTTTTGAGGTGCACTAACCTATACTTTTGTTTTCTGTTAAAGACTCCCACTTGTCTGCAACAACTTATAGCGACAGTGCAGACCCTGAGCTCATGAACTGGCTGAAACAACAAGGAGCAGACCTGGATGCCATTAAGAGGGTAAAGAAAAAATAAGAAAAAAGAAAAAAATTCACCTTAAAAAAAAGTCATTGTAGTCATAATTAGCAGCTTGGTTTCAGAGAAGGAATATTAATTAGGAATAAATTTACCTTTTAGTTTGCTGAAGAAGATTACACACTAAGTGCTGTCCTTAATGATATCACGAAAGATGATTTGCGGTATCTTCGGCTGCGGTAAGGAAGTGTTTCTCATTTGATTGTTAAGAGCTTAAGTACTTTGTAAGAACACTTTTTTTTGAAGTTAGGTTATTCTAATAGGTCAGTGCTAGTTCAGTGACAACTGCTGTGAATTTCAGCTCTGATTTTCTGTTTAAAAGTTTTTCACATCTTAACTGATGCAGCATAACAACTACACTCTAGTGCTTCAAGCCATCAACATTCTGTCATTTATCAAGGTTGGGAGCTATTTCTGCACCATTCAGGACGATGTAATCATATGGAAAACAGGAATAGAGAACTTATTTTTCCTACCCATTGATTTAAGTCCTTTCATCATCATTCTGTTAACCCCAGGCTGACCTGGAGTTGTTTTAGCCATAACCTTAAAGTGTAGGGTTTTCTATGTACTGTCATAACTGGTACAATCTTGGGACTTCTAGATTTTACTTCTTGCTCCCTTTAATGGAGATGAGGGGGTTTTCCCTAACTGTCTCCATTCTCCTTCACACAGCGGTGGTCTTCTCTGCAGAATCTGGAATGCAATATTAAACCACCGACAAACATCTGGTAAGACCTCTGTGCAGAAGGTTAATGCTTTGGAAGGAGAACCTGTAATGGGAATAAACAAATGAAAGATACATTCCTAACATTTAACTTATTAGATGTATATATGTATGTATAGCAGCCTTGCAGGTTTTGCACAGTTACAGAGCTTGTCTGACCACCAGTGTAATACACAGTGCATAGTAACAGCTTTTAAGTTGGTGTCACTGCACTTAAGTTCTTTACGACAGAGTAATGCAGAAGTCAAATGCCTATCAATCAGTGTAATAATATAAAGCATTAGCTGAGGAAAAACCTTTTCTGGCAAACAGGTACCACACACTTGAACTGGCTTTAGCATTGTGAAAACTGTGAACTTAAGCTGTGGGACAGTTCTGCTGGCTTATGGTTTGAGCAGGGAGGGGATATGCTAGAGCGTATGTCACCCCTTCATGGATTAATGTATGTGGCTTTTTGTATTAAAGCTACTCTTACTCAACTACTAAGAAAAGCCTGGTGTGATGTTTTCATTTAGGAACTCTTCTGCAAAAACAAAGCATCTAAATGACTTTTTTGGTGTTTTTTGGGGAAAGTGGGTCATCAAGAAACAAAGCAAACAGACCACCAGATAAATGTTGTTAAAGTTTAATTTTTTTTTTTTTACATTGTACATAAGACACAGCAACCAAACCAGAAGTCAGTAAAGCAAATATATAGCAATTTAAATAAACTGCTGCTTTCTCTTAATTTAGCTCCTTCTGAAACAACATTCAGCATGTTTAAGGAAATCGATACTGAAACAG